GACATAGTCATGTCTGCCAGCGCGATCCCGGAGCTTAAAGCGGGGGCGGCCAATCGAAAGGGTGAAATTTTAACACTAAAAATATTATAAAGTACGCGTGTTATAATTGCGAAAATAGCTTTTATTTATTATTAAGAAACGTGTAAAACTGCTGACAGACATTTTTCCCGTGGCTAAAATGCCGGCAGACAACCCGAAAGAGGCACGGAATTTGACAAAAAAAATCATCGCATATATGCATGTCGATTGGTGGAATGTCATGTTTATTTATTTAAAAAGCCGTATGCAAAAGGAAAAACAAAAAAATCGTGGCTCAATCAGCGGTAGTTATAAAAAACGCGATATTACTCTACAGGGTGAATCTTGAATAAGTGCAAATATTTTCATAGCTGGTAGACCTCGATAAAAGAAACATAATATTTTAATTTTACCGTTTTCCAAATAAGTCCAAAATAATCGAGTTATTTAAGTTTGAAAATTTAAAAAGAAATTGATTTATTTTTAAATAATTTTGTGGGACACCTGTTTTTTCTATACTTGCATTCACTATTTTAGTGTCGTAGCCATAGAGTAAAGCCGTAAGCATGATTGGTTAAGAAATAATTATACCGCTGGTGAATTTGCAGTGAACAGACAGTTCTAAAAAGTTTTCTAAAATATACAGGAAAATTTAAAAATAATGCATGATTTTTTATGTCTTTTTTGCGAAAAAAAAACTCATAGACGTGTTCTTGGGGTCGAAATATATCACCCTTAAAAGTAATTTCACTTATTTAAGACTCACCCTGTATAAGCGTTTTCAGAAAACGCTGGCCGCGTTATCAATTGAAACATAGTAAGTCTATAAAAATTTTACGGTGCAGATATCGACTCAGAGGAAGACTCGTTTGTGAGAGCGGGGATCTACAGTACGATGAGTCAGATACAAATAGGTGAAACAGAATAGTAAATGTATGATATCTGTTTTGAAATAATAAAAAAATATATTTATAATATAATCGTATACATGATTTATCTATACTTAAATGGATGAGGCGATGAGCGTTCCCTGAAAGCGCTAGAGTAATATCGCGCTTTTGATAACTGTCTGCAGCTGATTTAGCCACGATATTTTTGTCTGCCCTTTTGCATACGGCTTTTAAAATAAACAAATATGACATTCCACCAATCGGCATGCATGTACGCCATATTTTTTTTCATTCTTCAAATTTCATTTTTTAATAATTTTCGAGATAATTTTTAAAATGTCATGCCTCTTTCGCAATGTCTGTCGGTATTTTAGCGACCAGAAAAACGTCTGCCAACAATTTTCCACGTTTCTTAATAATAAATAAAAGATATCTTCGCAATTATAACTCATGTACCTTATAATAATTTTAGTGTCCAAATTTCACCCTTTCGATTGGCCGCCCCCGCTTTAAGCCCCGGGATCGCGCTGGCAGACATGACTATTTCATAATGGCTACACAAAAAGATACTTCACACAAAAAATTAGCCATGTAACGATGATAAGGTTTTTTATATAGCCAGCACTTAGACTATAAGTCGAGAATGAAATTAGTATTCTCTAATGTCTCTCTTAAGAATAGTCTCAAAGTATAAAGTACTCACTGCCTTACTGCAGATCAAAGTGTCGATAGAAATTTGAAAAGAACTAAAAACTGAAAAGCTATTAAAGGTACAAAAGAAGATATTCATAAAAAAATGTAAGCACTAGTTAAGTAAAAAAAGTATACCATTAATAATGATCAAATTATATTGTATCCTCACGGTAAATTAAAAAACACTAAATCACCACAATACACCAAAAACACTTTTACTTTTACACTGGACGCGCGTTTCGCTAACCATGTTAGCATCATCAGCAGATGATTATAAACTTCTGCAGTTTATAATCATCTGCTGATGATGCTAACATGGTTAGCGAAACGCGCGTCCAGTGTAAAAGTAAAAGTGTTTTTGGTGTATTGTGGTGATTTAGTGTTTTTAATTTGCTGTTTAACACCAAAGGTTCCAACCCACAACTGTAATATCCTCACGGTATATGCATATTTAATTTTATGAATCTGCAGTGGGTACTTTGTTTAGTCACTTGTTTCGTCAAACATGTCAAACTGCCCGAATTCTTTTTTGTTTTTGATCAAATCTATGTGAGAAAGCTGGGAAGCTATTAAAATGTTTTCGCTCAATTTTTACTAGCCGAAACCAACCGAAACAACGTTCCATCACACAAACTTCGTACCTTGTTTATAGTTTCAATAACTGCACTAGTAAAAACCAAAATATCTAAATATTATGACATAGCCACGATTTCAATATTATTTCAATGCGATCAGCAATCGGGACGGCATGATATAAAGTAGCCGGGCAGTTTTCATTTCTGCCGCACAAAGCACTGCTGTCGAAATTTTAAAATATCTGTTGAAATGCACCAAGGCTATTACAAAGTTGGTCTTTTACAACAGATTTTTAATTTATATTTCTGACGTTAGAAGAAATTCGAACTTAAAGGTCAGATGTATTTAAAGTGATCCCATTTAATATTTGTTCCTAGACAGAGACGTATCGAACTGTTTGTGCGCTAACAAGCCGAGCTGCCGTTTGATGGATAGCCACAGATCGGCGAAACCGTCTTAATGACGCGACATAAGAGACATCGTCGTGAAATTTGATATCTTGTTATGTTCAATCGACTTCGATTTTTTAGACTTTGCGGCGCCATACGATACAGAAAAATAAATGTGAAACTTGGAAAATAAGTTCGTCATAGTAATACTTTTATTGTCCACTGTTATACTACAAAATACGCATTCCTTTTAAAAAAACCTTGGCTTATTTATCTTAATTAATTCTTATAAATGCTTAAACACCCCATTTCTAAGCAGAGCTGCAACAAGTCATTTAAAAAGACTGAAGTTTCAAGTCTTAAGTCATTTCTAAAATCAAAACGATTTAAGTCTTAAGTTAAATTCAACATAAAGTTCAAGTGCTTTAAGTCTTAAGTCTGCTTTGACTTAAGTCCCTTTATTTCAAGTCAAGTCATTTTTGTAAAGACTTAAATCAATATAACCTTATTTAAGTCGTTTTTATCACTTAAGTCGATCTATATTTTTGACTTAAATCATGGTAACATGCAAATTAAGTCAGCAAAATGACTTAAATCAATATAATTACCCTCAAGTCAAGACAACCAGAATTCAATTAAGTCCGTTTTTTAAATGTTAGGTAATATTAATTTTTTTGTATTACCGGTTAGCGATTTTCTTAATAATAAGGATCATATTATTACTTTATATTGTAGATACAGATGAGACTAAAACCACATAAAATAAAAATAAAAAATCATCCTGATCCACTCACACTTTTTTTAAACAACCTATAGAAGTTAAAATATTTTCCTGAAATACATCCTAGTACATACTTTATGTTTGCACCATCTCTACACTCCATAGTTTGCACTTAAACAAAATTCCCAAGTTTTTTAGGAGCTATAGATGCCCGACGCACTATTGCCGAACCCTGTATAAATAGAATGTTTATGTATAAAATACCTAGGTCATAATTTGATCTGGGATAAGATATGGCACGCTAGAATCTTGAATTTTCAGCCTTATAAATTCTGTATGAATTTATGCAACTACTGTTTCTTGACAAAATGGCGATTGAGATTCTTATTAAGTATTTTCATTATTTTTCAATTCTAGTAGTCCTTGGAAACACATTATTTTTCAATTATTGCTGTAATGCAACTCTTGGTTTATGGATGCAACTGCAATTATTGTAATTTGTTATGCTTGGAACAATGGCCTATATGGCTTGGAACTTATTGGAAGAACTTCAAACAAAAAACTTAAAAACTCAAAACTTAAACACTACTAGCACAGATATGGTACTAGTCTACTATACAGACTCTGTATATTTTCGTTGCCAACATTTTCCAAGAAAAATCTTTCAAATTCAAAAATAAATTATTTAAAATTGGAAGAATCAGTTTTGCTGTGGTCTACATTCTAAAAAGTCTTAAAAACGATTGTCAAAATGGTCACACTTTTTTAACAATTTTTTCAAATAAATGAATCATGAAAACTACTCAAAAACTACTATATAAATTTGATACATGTTTTGGTTTGGTTGTCTGTTAAAACATGAAGCAAAAATACAAAAGGTACAAAACATAAGTACAAACTGGTACAAAGTTAAAGATAAGTGTCTCTGTGAAACATCTTATTATTTATACTGCTTTTAATTAGCGTCTGGTTACTGCTATAGTTGAATATCGAGTTAATAAGAAAATTTATAAATAAAAGCATATTTCCAGAGAATTTTACAAGAATACAAGGTGTTTCTTCATTTTACTGACTTTACCAAACATTTTACACAGTTCACACACAGTTACAGGTTACAGATTTTTTATAATTTTATAAATTAAAATTTAAAATTAAGAAACATTTGTTGACACATGCCACAGAACAGATGAGATCACGATGAGATTGATTATAGCAATTATAGTTAATTCTCGTGGTCTGTGGTACACCAAATTTTAATATTATTTTTATATATGACAAGATTATATCTCTCAAAATTAGTTAATTTATTTATTAGATTAAATAGGTAATAAATAGATGCCATCATCTTATTTCTTAATGGAATTAAGAACAATACTTAAATAAAATAGGAAATCACAACAATATTAATTTTAGTTTTTCTCTATTCATATATAATATAGAATCATATTCCTATAAACCATAGGGACTTGGCAACGTTGGCAACGTCGAAGCAGGGTACCCATTTATAAATTTAGTTATTTAATGACTAGAGGTGGGCCAGTCTGCGATTTTTGTGGAGCTGCTACGCTCTGCGACTGCTCCAATAAAAGCACTGTGACAAGTAGCAGCGATTTTTCGGAGCAATTAACCTATAAATTAAAAATGTAGTTTTATAGGTTAATTGCTCCGAAAAATCGCACTCGGTGTTCGGCACCGTTCGTTGCATTTAGTTAAAAAATGTTTCTGTCAACTATTACACGCTTCCTCAACATCATTTTTAATTGGATCCAAGTGTTTTTAGTTATCATTTGTGTTAAATGTCTTCAATGTGAAGTCAACGGTTTCTCTGGAATTATATTAATTAAAGTTTTTCAGACCAAGATGCCCAAACGGAACAAACATCGTAAACATGGGAAAAATAGAAAGAAATATGCTAGAGAGAAATGTGAAAATAACTCTCAACCTGCTGATGACAGTATAAGTCCTGAGAACAATTCGGATACTTTAGTGAATTTCAATAATTCATTAAATTTTCAAACTCCTTTAAGGCCAAAAGTGAAGAATACCAATTCACCTATTTTAGAATCTCCTGTTAACGTATGAATGTTACTTTACTATTCATAAATTTAGTATATTCACACTATATTTCTTCATAGACTATAATACCAAACAGTTCAAAGGATGATTTCAGTTTAAATGTAAAAAATGATATACTTGAAGAATATACTCCAGTCAAAACTAATCACTACAAAAGAAGGGTGAGTCTAACTAAACAAAGGGAAAGGAGAAGCGAGTCATGGAATGTAACAAATTTAAAGGACCTTTTTGAGGAAGATTTAAGTTCGTGTAGTGCAACTGTTATCCATAATAATTGTGAGTTGAGAAAGTCAAATAGTAGAAGGAGGTCCAGTTCTAGTATAGCTAAACTACACTCACCAGGTAAAAATAGCAACAATGTGATCACAAGTTGTATGGTCAAGCATGCAAATTGGATTCTTTGATTACTGATAAACAATTCTTGTGGAAAGTTTCATAGAATTTTTTAGCAGTCAAAATCTAAAACCGATCGGTCGTATATAATATATTACATTATAGAATATTTATACATACCCATTTCTATAACGATCGTATCTACATACTTGTCAAAATTTAATTTTATTAGGAAAGGAGAAACCATTATCCTTCCACAAAAGTACCCAGACTTTAGATGAAATATCTCTTCATCAATCTTTAGCAGATAATATCATTACAGAAACACCTAAAATGAACCATGGAACCAAGGATTGTGAGTTAATAGTTAATTAAATGTTTTGTCACATTTTTAAACAATTATTTTAGTTGCACAAATAGATAAAACTTTAAATTTAAATAATGCTAAAAATAATAGTAATCACGCCTTAAAGTTGATTCATGCTGATATTAATATAAACCCATACTTAAAAGACACAGGTTTTATAAATGTAGAATTAGATCAAAACCAAAAGAAAATTAATAAGGTATAGTTGTTTTACGTAAAATACTTGAAAGCAGATATAAATATCTAAGATTGTAGGAACCTAGTGCAGAAGAAAGGTCATTTTTCTCACCACAACTATTCAACATGGAATCAAGTTCAACACCTGTCGATAAAATTCATAGTCAGAAATTATATTCTTACTTAAAGGAAACAGTGATGAAAGAAACTATGGAAAATGTCATAAGCTCTGGTGGAAAATTTGATTTCATTAGTAATAAAATTGACACTACTCCTCTAAGAGATAGTATAGTATGTGACACGCCAAGGTATTTTACTTAAGTACCTATGTTCTAGTCTATAGTTTTCTATACAGGGTCCGGCAATAGTGCGTCGAGCATCTGTAGCTCCTAGAAGAAAATACTTGGGAATTTTTTTAAGTGTAAACCTAAAGTATGTACAACGGTGCATGTATCTCAGGAAAATATTTTAACTTCTATAGGGTGGCTCAAAAAAGTGTGAGTGGATCGGGATGATTTTAAATGGAGCACCCTGTATATTATTGCATTTTTGGCTTCCTTTCAGATCACTTTACATAATCCTAAGATATGAATAAATATAATTCGATAGTTTCAGAGATATTAATAAATAAATAAAAAAAAATTATATTTTTCAACCTTCTTTAAAAAAAATATTACAAATACAAGAACTGTCCTGAAATCAAAACTATATTAGTATTTACTTTAGATAGTCTATACTTGACTTTGCTATAAATATCGTAATCTTAAACCATACAGGATTTTCAAAATTATACGCCAAACTTTCTAAAATATAAAATAATTTTTCTATGTTTTTTAAAATGGAACACTCTGTATATTATTTTTTTATTAGATGGAGAATTAAAAATTGAACATTTTTTGTATTTAAAGTATTTCAAAATTTTTAATGGTTTCGCTGATACACGCAGTATTATTTCATATGGCCTACTACTACTCAACGGTAAAATACGAGAGAAAAATCATTGGGTGGCTTTGATAAAAATTTACAATGGAAAATACCATATGAAATATAAAACCGCGAATATCTGCGAAGCCGTTAAAATTTTTGAAATACTCTAAATACAAAAAATGTTCATTCATTAATTCGCCCTCTATTGAAAGAATAATATACAGGGTGTTCCATTTAAAAAGAGAAGAAAAATTATTTTATATTTTAGAAAGTTTGGCGTAAATTTTTGAACATCCTGTATGATATACAATTACCATATTCATAGCAAAGTAAGTACAGACCATCTAAAGTAAATATCTAATATAGTTTTGATTTCACAACAGTTCTTGTATTTTTAATAATTTTTTTAAGAAAGGCTGAAAAATATATATTTTTTTATTTATTTATTAATACCTCTGAAACTATTGAAATATATTTACTTATATACAGGGTTGTTCACCACATACGACGCGGAGTATTGTAGCTAAACGATGAGATCTTTACAAATTGTAAGTTTTGGGTTCGATGAAGGACTATTAGAGGTACAATTTAAAAATAATTTTACATGATACAGAGTGTCCCAAATAAGTAAAAAATATCTAAGTTGTATTTTTTTTAAATGGAACACCCTGTATATTATTACATTTTTAGTTTCTACGATTAAAATAAAGGTAAATTTGATTAAGGTTTATGATACTTAAACCTTACCGTTTTTGAAATATTTTCAATTTTGTGAAATTGCAGTAAACATTTTAAGGCTTCATTTCTCCAAGGGTATCAAAGTTTTTAATACTAAATATTTACTGAAGTTTATTTATTGATCAGTTATTGTGTTGCAATAATAAAAATAATACAACCTTATACAGAGTGTCTAAAAATTTATTTTAAATAATTATTAGCTTCAAACGGCAATAACTTGTTTAATTTAAATGGAACGCCCTGTATATTTTAGGAGAATCAGATGCACAATTTAATTGTCTATCAAGTTGTGTTATGCCATTTTTTACCTGTCCCTTCAAGTTTTCGTAGAAAATGCATTTTCTTATAATTTAGACCTCATTTATCAATATACCCGTGGAATATTGACATTTGAGATTGTTTTTAAAGATGTACCAAATTTTTAAAGAGTACAGATACTAATATTGTCGATATAATTCGTTTATTTCATTAAAAAAATTAAAAAAAACTGTTTAAATATTTGTTAAAGAGGACCAATTAATATGATTCCAGTATTCAAACTACATGAACTGACTGTTTGCGTTGATTAATAATAATTGCTCCAAATACTAAAAAAGTGAATTTTGTATGGGTATTAGAAAGTGTGATAAAAAGTAACACCTTAAAAATGATATTTCATTTTTTAATAAATGCTTATTTATAACAACAGAGACTTTAATTGTGATAACTTATTATTATATTGATTTCTGACTCAAATCCACATTTATTTAGAATAATTTATTAACGAACACAATTAAGTATGTAATTAATTAGTATATGGGCGGAAATAATGGTGTTATATTTAATTAATGGTATACTCTTTTATAAAGATTTAAATAGTTTTCTTTTTGCACACAAATGGGCTAGTAATATTATCGTTTTGCTAAAAACGATAATATTACTAGCCTGTACATTTTGTACATTTGTTGCTTTAAAAACAATCTCAAATGTAATAATATACAGGGTGTTCCATTTAAAAATATCACCCCAATCAACTGACTTTTTTGAGCCACATAGCATGATATGGAGCTGTTTCAGAACACTGCTCCATCCTATTATACAGAATCCGGCAATAGTGCGTCGGGCACTGTAGCTCCTAAAATAAAAAAAAAAAAACTTAAGTGCAAATCTAAAGTATGTTCTAGGATGTATTTCAGGAAAATATTTTAACTTCTATAGGGTGGCTCAGAAACATGTAAGTGGATCGAGATGAATTTTTTTAATGGAACACCCTGTATATTATTGCATTTTTGGCTTCTTCTCAGTTCACTTTACATAATCCTAATATACAGGGTTGTTCACCACATACGACACGGAGTATTGTAGCTAAACGATTATATTTTTACAAATTTCAAGTTTTGGGTTCGATGTAGGACTATTAGAGGTACAATTTAAAAATAATTTTACATTCCGTGGGCATATCGATAAATGAGGTCTAAATTATAAGAAAATGCATTTTCTACGAAAACTTGTAGGGATAGGTAAAAAATGGTATAATACAATTTGATAGACAATTAAATTGTGCGTCTGATTCTCCTAAAATATACAGGGCATTCCATTTAAATTAAAGAAGTTATTGGCGTTTAAAGCTAGAAATTATTTAAAATAAATTTTTAGACACTCTGTATAAGGTAGTATTATTTTTATTATTGCAACACAATAACTGACCAATAAATAAACTTCAGTAAATATTTAGTATTAAAAACTTTGATACCCTTGGAGAAATGAAGCCTTAAAATTTTTACTGCAATTTCACAAAATTGAAAATATTTCAAAAACGGTAAGGTTTAAGTATAATAAACCTTAATCAAATTTACCTTTATTTTAATCGTAGAAACTAAAAATGTAATAATATACAGGGTGTTCCATTTAAAAAAATACAACTTTGATATTTTTTACTTATTTGGGATACTCTGTATCTTGTAAAATTATTTTTAAATTGTACCTCTAATAGTCCTACATCGAACCCAAAACTTGAAATTTGTAAAAATTTAATCGTTTAGCTACAATACTCCGTGTCGTATGTGGTGAACAACCCTGTATATTAGGATTATGTAAAGTGAACTGAGAAGAAGCCAAAAATGCAATAATATACAGGGTGTTCCATTTAAAAAATTCATCCCGATCCACTTACACGTTTCTGAGCCACCCTATAGAAGTTAAAATATTTTCCTGAAATACATCCTAGAACATACTTTAGATTTGCACTTAAGTTTTTTTTTTTATTTTAGGAGCTACAGTGCCCGACGCACTATTGCCGGATTCTGTATAATAGGATGGAGCAGTGTTCTGAAACAGCTCCATATCATGCCACGTGGCTCAAAAAAGTCAGTTGATTGGGGTGATATTTTTAAATGGAACACCCTGTATATTATTGCATTTTTGGCTTCCTTTCTGATCAGTTTACATAATCCTAAGGGTTCAAACGCACTGACGACCAGGTCGCAGCGACCAGCATTTGATTCAATGTTATTAGGAAAAAACTCAGTTGCGACCAGTAATAACATTGAATAAAATGCTGATCGCTGCGACCTGGTCGTCAGTGCGTTTGGACCCTTAAGACATTATTAAAATATGTTTTGATAGTTTCAGAGATATTAATAGATAAAAAATTGTTTTTTCAGCTTTTTTTAAATAATTATTAAAAATAAAAGAAATGTCCTGAAATCAAAATTATAATAGGTATTTACTTAAATTATGCAATTTTTTTATCTTTGAAGATGCGTGACACCAAAATGTTGCTTGTTAGCACTGTTCTAATGCATACTTTAGGTCTGCACTTAAATGAAATTCCTAAGTTTTTTATTATAGGAGCTAGAGATGCACGAGTCACTTTTGCCAGACCCTGTATACAGGGTGTCCCAGGCTGAGCGTGCATTAGAAGTTTCTAGAGAACCATAATATCTAGATCGGAGATTTTTTGCACATTACTGTTTCACAACGAGATCTATCGATTAAAAATATTTTCAATATGGCAGCACTTCCGGATATACCGGAAGTTGACAGCAACTTTCTTATTTTAAATGGGTACCCCCATTTTTTATTACATACTTAAATTCTCCGTAAAATTTTGTGAAATTTGATCTTAAACACTCTATACCTAACATTAACCGTTTTTGAGAAAAAAAAATATTTAGTATTTTTGGAGGAAAAAAACTACCTGTCAAAAAAATTTGTATAGCCTAAACGTAAAATTTAGCGATTACCACAGCCACTGGGACATAAAGAGAAGACATGTGGCTATCTATTTCAAAAATTAAATTGTTCGAATGTCATATAGTATTGATTAAAAAATTATCATAAATCATTTTTTTTTAAATGGAAACTCACTTTTTTATTTCACTAGTGAAAAGGTTTTTTAATTTGTTACTTTTTTATTATACATGTTCCTATACCTAAAATAAATGGTTTTTAAGTTATTTAAGATTTAGTTTTAAAGCGTAATTTTTTCTTGATTTTAGCTAGCTTCCTTTGACATTGAGTGTCAAACCATCAGATAATGTATTTCCTTCTGTCAAAAAACTAATTATTTGAATTTCGTATAGTATTATAAATACTGCTGGTAAAACTTGTAATAAAATAAAGTGTGTTTATAAAAATATATCTCGTATTTTAGTGATAGCTAGTGGCAATATGACATGGCCAGATATAGTTTTACGTCACGTGACGTTTAAAGGCTTAGGCTACTGGTTAAAAAAAACAAAAAAACATACCTTTCAAAACTAAATCTTAATAACTTAAAAACCATTTATTTTTGGTATAGGAACATGTATAATCAAAAAGTAACGAATTAAAAAACCTTTTCACTAATGAAATAAAAAAGTGGGTTTCCATTTAAAAAAAATGATTTATGATAATTTTTTAATCGCTCAATTCTATGACAGTTGTGGCCATGATTATATGACATTCGAACAATTTAATTTTTGAAATAGATAGCCACATGTTTTCTCTTTATGACACAGAGGCCGTGGTAATTACTAAATTTGACGTTTAGGCTATACACATATTTTTGACAGGCAGTTTTTTTCGTTCAAAAATTTTAAATATTTTTTTTCTCAAAAACGGTCAAATGTTTGATATAGAATGTTTAATCAAAATTCATAAAATTTTACAGAGAATTTAAGTATGTAATAAAAAATGGGGGCACTCATTTAAAATAAGAAAGTTGTTGTCAACTTCCGGTATTTCCGGAAGTGCCGCCATATTGAAAATATTTTTGATCGATAGATCTCATTGCGAAACTATGATCAGCTATGATGTGCAAGAAATCTCGGAGCTAGATTTTGTAGTTCTCTAGAAACTTCTAATGCACGCTCAGCCTGGGACACCCTGTATATGTTTTAAAAAATATGCTCTAAGATTGTAATGTATATCTCAAATAAGAAATATGAAACTGACCATTTGGAACACTGGGAATACAGTATATTAAAAACTTAACTTTTTTTGGGGTGATATTTGAGTATCAAAAACTTTATTCTATTTGTGTTTAGATCAGAGAAAATTCTAAACAAAAAACAAAATTTGAATGGCAGCTTTGATATACAAATCGATCCAATAGTCCAAAATAAGAGAGATGTTAATTTTAACACGCCCCCAGTATCAGAAAAAACTAACTACAAAGAAAAAACAAATAGTATTAGATTGTTAAGTAACAAGAAGAGAAGTTATGGCACTTCTAGCATGCTTTACGATAGGTAATTTATATTAAATTTTTTAATAATGTCAAGCAGGAATAATATTAAAATAAATTGTAGAAGTTCTCCGAAAATGAGTAAATTATTGAAACACTCAAGAATGTTTAACAAGAACATGTCTTATTCGAGATTAAGTGCTAGCCGCCGATCATCGCTCGATCGTTCATGTGAACTGTCAAGATTTTCTAATAATTCTAGAGTGGGGTTGTATGAGAAAATGATAAATAAAATCAGAAAGTATGTCTTTTATTAAATTTAATGTTCCAAACCATTTTCAACTGACTTTCAAAATACTATACCAACTTTATTTCAGATATAGCAGGGTTTCAGCTAGATGGAGCTACAGGATGGTAGATATTTGTTCACAACTTGGCATTCAAATAAAAAAGGTATTATATAATATTGAATGATAAAGATAGTATGGAATTAAAGTGTATATTTTTAGAGTTTAACTTCTCTATGCAAAGTGTACGAAAAAAATACTGTGCAAGAATGTACAGAAAGGGTATGCAAGTGTGAGGAATTACGGGAGCAGATTTCGAATTTAAATACACATATAAGCGGTTTGAACAGCGAAATTGAAAATCTAAAACAACAATTGCACGAAAACAACGACAATAAGAACAGCGACATAGAAAAATTAAACACCGAGATTAACAAAGTATGTTGTTTTAATATTTGATTTTTATTAATTTATTTTATTTAATATTTTTTTAAATGGGACACCCTATATATTATTCTTTTATGTTATTTTCCTTGTCATGAGTTTTCTAAAAATATTATATTTTATACTTATTTTCATAAACTAGGCAAGAAAATTCATTTTTTAACGTTTTTTCATAAATAAACCTAGTTTAAAAAAGCATTATCATATTATTTAATTTACTTTAACCAGATAATTTTACTTTCCATCCTGTTGTAATAAACTGCACTGAAAATAAACTCATGCAGCTTTTTGATAACACGCTGTCAATCAGAGTTATTGATATTTTTAATGCACTTGTGCAATAATTCTACACACAGAAACTAGCGTGGGATAGCCAATAATCAAAATTTGACGTCGATTAAATTATTCGATTGTTTTGATTGCGTAATTTAAACCGGCCGCCTGTGTTAAAAAGTTAAATAATGCATTTTTTACCTTGTTTATGAAAATAAGTATACAGTATGTTATATTTTTAGAAAGCTCAAAACAAGATAAATAAAATATATAGGATATCCCATTTTAAAAAAATAAGTTTCTAACACACACGAAAATGGGACATCCTGTATAAAAATTATACCGTCACAATCTTTTTCCAGATAAAACAGGAATTATCTAGAGTGACTGATGTACGCTCGGAACTTACTAGCCTCAAAGAACAATTTCAGTGCTTTAAAACTAGGTCTATAGAGCAAGCGGCTACATCTGCTCCTTCGTCTGTAGTTAATAGCGCTCCCCCACCACCTCCTCCTCCTTTACCTCCCCCGCCGCCCCCACCTCCGCCACCGCTGTTGATGGTACAAAAACCACAAAAATTGGGTTTGGGCAAGAGGGCCAAAACTACCCTGGGTATACCCAGTGTCGAAAAAAGTGACAGCAGACCTGTCATCAGTCTCGACGACATATTAAAAGTCAAACTGAAGAAAGCTTCGGTAAGTAATGTAAATTATAAGCAGTTGCTGTATACCGGGTGTTTGTCGAAAGTAGTCCACCCCTATAATTTTTTTTATTTTTTGAAGGTGCGTATTCATTATCCGAACGAACGAATGAAAGTGCGGTATATTTAGACGGGGACCGAACGCATGCGGCCGTTCGTTCGCTCGGCCATCCGTTTCGAGTCGGTACATCAAAGGCGTTCGGTATTGTACGGTCCCCGTCCATACCACTAGCGAACATTCGTTCGTTCGTTCGTTCGGATAATGAATACGCACCTTGAGATAAAAACGAGATTTGGTATGCTAGTATATGCCGTAAATTAGGATTGATTGACGTATTCAATTGTTTTCGGTCACTTCCTGTTTCACCGGAAATGACTACAACTTTTGACAAAAATGACACAAATAACAAAAAATGACGCTCTTAATAATTTCCAGGCCTACTTTTTACAAATGCCATTATGCATATGGCAAATTTAAATGTTTGGTTTATTTAACATTACAATATGCGATTCGTCACAATTTGACTCGAAATACCCAGTATGTGGTCCCAAAATATTCGTAAAAATTTGAAAAAATTGAGTTATGATTAAAAATACGATTTGGGCATCTTTTAACTGGCCTGGAACAGACATGAAAAACATTAGATGATCAAACCTATTTTTCCAAGCTTCCTTGATTAAACTCTCACTCTAGATTGAATTTTAAAATACAATTTTTTTAATTGAAAATGTGAAAATTTGATATGATATGTCGCTCTATTCAGAATGTCATTTTCGATCAAACAAAGTAAAAAAATGATAGGGTATCTACCATTTAAAAATCAGTTTTAGTTATTTCCAGTGAGGGTGCATCCATACCATCCTAGAAAAAGCGGAACGGCGCCGGCGTATCGGCGTAACGACCTTGAATCGATTTCCAGCAATAATTGGAATATCCAGCCAATAGAATAATAGCCAATAGAATTATTCTATTGGCTGAAATTTTTCTAAAATTCATCTGTCAAAAATTTCAGCCAATAGAATTACTGGAAATCTATTCTAGGTCGTTACGCCGATAAGGCTTTCCGCTGTTTCTAGAAAGATGTGGATGCACCCTGAAACATGAAGTGACCGAAACTAACTGAATACGTCATCACAGTGGTCATTATTACAGAATTAGGTGGTAATAAATACATGTTCAAAAAATACATCTTTTGGAAAGTTGCACCGTATATTTTTTGAATGATAGTCGGAAAGTGATGTAGATTATATAAGTAAAATAAGTTAATCGTACTTTTATACAGGGTGTTTGTTTAAATAAGTAACCTAATACAGTGAATGTTCCTAAATGATATGCTAATATTTAGGAGGTAATTCCTGGACCTATTAAAAAAATAAAAAAAAAATATATTTTAGGTCGTCCTCGCATTTTACCACATAGATTGTGTTCAAAACATATGTCAAGACATGTGTAGTTTTCTCTTCAAAGGGACTGCCTTCCTATCAAATAGAAAACAAATATTTTTATTTATTGACAAATTGACATTGTCTCTAAAAAATCATTTTTGAAGTTTTTGGCACTTCTTGGCAGCCAATTTTGGAATGACTCTTTAGATAAAAGGATTACTTATAATAAAAAAGTCTTTCGAAGAAAAATATGAATAGATCCTGTATTTGACAAGTTACAAAATCCATATTTAAGAAAGAAAAATAATTTTTACAAACCATTTAAACGAAATCCTTTTTTCTATTATACACGGGACGCAAATATATTATGAACTTACCCCAAAATACTTAAAAACACCAACTTAGTCTCAAAAATCGCAGGGTAATTATGCAAATTACAACTTTAAAAATTCAAAGATAAGCAATCACAAAACCAATAAAGTAAACAACCTAAGACAAAATCAACTTTGATGTTTGTTGAAGCATGTTTGTGGTTTATTAACAATGATTTATTTTGATGCCTTATTTTTCCAATTTATTATTTCCTAAAAAATTGAAATCACCTCTGTGCGTCAGTAAGAAATTCCACCACAAAACGTCAGATCAGAAATTCGCAAAGAAGTTTTTGTGTACCTACTAATTTCAAGTCTATGACGAATAATTTTTTAAATAAATTGAATAAAAAAATACTCAAATTTACTTTTTTGTCAAGAAGAGGTATTAAACTTGGGGGTTCACGTGCGCATAATATGTACTTATTTAGGAACCGCCTTTTGCACTTATCATAGTGTAGATATAGTTTACTAATCACTCGTTATGCAGGAACGCCCAACTGTAAATCCGACCACTCGTAACCGCACCAGCACGCCCGTCGTCTCGATGGACATGTTGCGACAGGTGAAGTTACGCCCATCGTCCCGCCCCTCGATGGTCAAGTCCACGCCCAACAGATCGAGCCTGTCGACGCCGGGCGGCAGTACGGGCTCGTCGGACACGCCCACCAGTCCGCACAGCAGTCTTTGTAGGTTGTTGAACGGCGATTCGGGCGTATGGCGAGTGAAACGGTTAAAAAAAGTGGGAGGTTATAGTCTCGACTCTGTTCACAGGAGATCGCCGTCGATCGTTACGGGGAGGAGAGAGAGGACCGATAGTTGATCTTCGATTCACAGGTTGGATGATTGACGTTGGGTCGGTGTGCATGTCAGCATGTGACAAGTGAGTAGAAAGATTAATAATTGTACAGAGGGTGGCACAGCGTTCCGAATAATGGCTAAACAATACAAGGACCAATAATTAGGGTTTTCAATTTTCAGGATCAAGATCCCGTTTTGAAATCCCGGGATAAGAACCTATAGGCTTGGTGCATTCTCCGCCGGTGCTGCCACCATCGGAAAGTATCGTAAGCAGCTAGTACTTACAAATAGACGGGTTTAAATAGCGGGAATACGAAAAATATATTATTTAGTTATTCTAAAAGTGTTAGGAAGTATAATTTGTGAAAATTCTAAAAATGAAAATAAAAAAGTAAATATTTTGATATCTTCAAAAGGTCTAACTTGTATTATAATTTACTATTCCAGTTAAAACAACTTTTTAGATGAGTTCAACTACGGTAGCGAGCATAGTTTTAATCACCGGTTTTGCCAGTGAGACATAATTGGGGCTATTTTGACTATAACGAAATTATCTAAAGGTATACAGGGTGTCCCAGAAATAAGTGCAAGTATTTTAACTGGTAGTATAGTTCAACCCCAGAAACACGCCTGAAGTTTTTTTTCGCGAAAAAAAATTTTTTGAGAATTAGATTTTTTTCAGTTAAAAAACATAATTTCTTGATAATATGGCAACATAGGTAGTAGATTAAATTAACAAGAAAGAAAATTCAGAAAAGATCCAGTTCTTCTCAAAATTTTAGCTAAATATTTTTTTTGGAAATTTTCAAAGTAAATAACTCCTTTATTTTGGACTTATATGAAAAACGATAAAGAGAAAATATGTTTCTTTTATCGAGATCTACCACCCCTTAAAATACTTGCACTTATTTCTGGGACACCCTGTATAATTATAATTTTAGATGTTCATAAAACATTTAATCACTAGTTGACTAAAAAAGTATACTATTAATATTGCAAATTATATACTCTCATAGTACCGTATGATCGAATAAAAACGGCGTCCAGTTGGCTTGGAAATGACGATCGATGGCATTTCCTATATAAATTTACATATAAAATGACAGCGATCTTCATTTCATAGCCATCGCTGACGCCGTTTTTATTCGATCATACGGTATATGTCTATTTATTTTTTTAATTATGTTACGAGCACTTTGTTTACTCACTTGTTTCGTCGAACTGCTTGAATCCATTTTTGCTTTTGATCAAATCGGTGTGGGAAACTAAGAAGCTATGTTGTTTCGGGAGAGTTGAATATCCGGGAAAGTTGTGTTATTGAATGTTATTGCACCCAACAACGCTCTAATTATGCTGTACTTTACGCGTTAACATTTTTCGGCAATTTTATTAACAATTGAAATTGTCACAACACAACAGGACGCCTAGTTCAAATTCTTTTTCGCTTATTTTTTACTACTCGAAACAGCATTACTTCGCACAAACCTCGTACCTGAGTGTTTTATAGTCTCAATAATGCGCAAAAACTAAAATACTTAAATATTATTTACAAAAGCACGATTTCAATATTATTTTAATGCAATTAACAACATGACTGCTGATTACTGATAATTTCAGATTTTTGCCGTTCAAGCGCTGCGGTCAGAATTTGTTGAAATCGATTGAAATGCACCAAGCCTATAATCCCGGGATTGAATATCAGAATGAGAAATTTAATCTAAAGAACTACTTAATAAAACTGCAGCTACATATATCAAAAAGAAAATGAGAAAAGAGTTTTATTAAAATAGACATAACAAAGTAACATTCATATTTAGTAATTAAAAAAAATAATTCTTGTTGCAAAAAAAATATAGCAAACATAGAAATATAACTTTTAGATATTGACGTTCTGCTTATTATAAATAAAATATGTTATGATCTTTGAAAGACTAAATTGTATAAAGTCGAATCGTTTTAGATCATATACGTATTATTTACAAATATACTCAGCCTAATCTCCAAAAAGTGAAGCCCAAACAGTGAAAGAACAATATGGAATTCTGCATAAGTCTATTTCACCCGGATATTCATTTAACTGCGCATGCCTCACCTGAAAAAGTTTTCATTGGTCGATGTTTTTAAAGGGAAGTGGTTGACTGACATTTCACCTAACCTTCAATTTTATTTATATTTTATTATTTATAACACATTATCATGGAGTTGGAAAAATATCAAAAAATAGTTGGAAACAATAAACTAAACAAAATCACTCTTTTACGCGCACAAATAAAAAGTAATCCAAACAGAACTAAAACAACAATAAATCGGAGTTTGGCGCAATCGCAGTTCAATCCATATCCGGGTGAAATACACTTATGCAGTTTTAATATGGATCTGGGTTATGTTGTCTTTTTCTTACGGCACAGAAATTGCACACGGAGTTAAATAGGGAACCCTGAGTATATTTGTAAATAATACGTATATGTTTTCGATTAGGCATTTAATTTTTTCGAGATTTTCGGGATCCCGGAATTTAATATCGGGATTTCGGGGATAAACATACTTAGTGGAGAAAATTTTGAAAAGAACATATTATCAAGTATTTCATGATAAAACTGTCAAATATCCTTCGCATAATAGAATGTCACTTTATGGTATTTTTGAAATGTAAATTTAATGGAAAATCAACTGAGCTAAAAAATTGTAGTCCATTCCTTTAAAAAATGTAGCGAAATCTCCAAAAACCTGATTACAGAGCTTTCTCGAAACACTGGGTCACCCTGTATATTAGAACATATTATCAAGTATTTCATGATAAAACTGTCAAATATCCTTCGCATAATAGAATGTCACTTTATGGTATTTTTGAAATGTAAATTTAATGGAAAATCAACTGAGCTAAAAAATTGTAGTCCATTCCTTTAAAAAATGTAGCGAAAATCTCCAAAAACCTGATTACAGAGCTTTCTCGAAACACTGGGTCACCCTGTATATTATGTGTAATTCGACGTTTCACTCCACAACTAACCAAATGTTATTTGTATTAAGGTCTCTCTGTGTATACTTATTTTTACGAGATCAAGAGATTCAGCTGAGAATCATATTTTGTTTATATCATATAATATAAAATCATATTATCTATACAGGGTGATTCCTGTAAGTTGGTCATGCTTTCGGGGAATGATGGGGACGTCGAAATATTAATTTTGATATAGCACACTATGGGTCGGAAATGCCTCTTACGCAAGATACAGGGCGTTAAAGTTTTTGAAAAATAATATTCTTTAATAGTTTTTTAACAGTTGAAGGTATCGTTATAAAATTTTATTATAGGAGTTTACCTAACAGAGACACTTTAAATGTAAAAAGAAGAGGTTTTAGTTTCAACCAGTGGCGTAGATGTGATACGCATCGGGTAATTTTTTCAAAAAAAAAATAGTACGCCACTGATAAAAATCAAAATTTCGAAGTTTTTTTATTTACTTAGTTTATTTCCAAGCAAAAATGTCTCTTGCGACTTTCTCCTAGCTAACACCATTTTGTCACAATTTAAAAATAAATAATTTTTTTAATGAGAACCTTAAATATGCGAATTATTATAACTACCTTAAAACTAAGAATTTTATTAACAATAAAAAAATTTCTAATTTAAATTTATAATTTTTTAAAAATTTATTTAAGGAACTAAACCTTGACCTATTTAAATTCACATGGAAGTGACGAAGGGAGCTGACGATGCACATGTGTTTCTGCCGTATAGTTATGATAATTCGCTGTATTTAGGATTCTCATTAAAAAAATTATTTATTTTTAAATTGTGACAAAATGGTGTTAGATAGGAGAAAGTTACAAGAGACATTTTTGCTTGGAAATAAACCGAGTAAATAAAAAAAAACTCCAAAAATTTTATTTTTTATCAGTGACGTACTATTTTTTCCAAAAATTACCCATCATCACATCACATCTACGCCACTGGTTAAAACTAAAACCTCTTCTTTTTACATTTAAAGTGTCTCTGTTAGATAGACTCCTATAATAAAATTTTATAACGATACCTTCAACTGTTAAAAAACTATTAAAGAATATCTTTAATTTTTCAAACTTTAATTTACTTAATTTTTAAAACTTTAACACCCTGTATCTTGCGTAAGAGGCATTTCCGACCCATAGTGTGCTATATCAAAATTAATATTTTGCCGTCCTCTACCACTCCCCGAAAGCATGACGGACTTACAGGAATCACCCCGTATAATCAAAAAATCGTCTTTGTAATATACATATTTCTCTTTTCTAGGTAGTACAGTACTCTCATAATGGACTATCGATTTAAATTAATTGAAATAATTACGTACTAACCACCACTGCATGTTATTTATATTTATTTATTTTATATAAGAAAATGTTATACTGAAAAATATATATTTATTTCTACTAAACGATTTTCAAAGTCGTCATATTTACAATTCTGTGCTTTATATTTACAATTTCTAGCTATTTAATGTGCTTGGGCAGACTGTTATTCTTTTTTTGTTAGATATATTTATACACTACATTTTAGTATTAATATACATATTGTCATCAAATTATCTTTATTTTTTTATTATATTTGTGTTATTTTGTGCTAATAAAATATAATATGATCTACGAATAGCTAGTATTTATATATGTCAATGACTAAAGAATCCAAGGACAAATAACACCCGAGAGCAATTTGTGACGATGACACCAAACAGTGCCGTGGCACATATTTTTCTTAACCCAGCTGTTTGAAGCAATATTTATATTTTTTGATAATTGTTTTGACTACGCCTATGGTGTATCATCCTAATTAATTACGAAAAAAACGTATTAAAATGTTAACAAAAGGTACAAAACTAGTATCGACGTATATCACATATCAAGTACATATAGATGTTAATTGAAATTGAAGAATAAAGATCGAATTCAATAAGAAAACTAAGAAAACGCTAAAAAGTTGGAGTGGACTGTTTATTTACCTATGAAACGTAACTCCTGGCTCTTTCTTATCGCTGCTGCTTTTACACTTGAAAGCTGAACAACTAGTCACCATTGTAATAAAGTTTATACAAAGTTTACTACACACAAACTATTAAAAATCGCTAAAATTGTCGCTGTTGACCAAATGATGACTCATTGTTTGCCACCAAAACAAAAAAAAGGTCACAAATTCTGCTGCAGCCCCTATAGGGGCGTTACATGTCCTTATATTCTTTAGTCATTGATATATGTAGAGAGAAAAAAAACAACTTAACAACTTGGATTGTGGTACAAAAAATTTATTATATCACTCTATAAATCTTATAAAATAAGGACATCTATAACTAATAATACTTATTATACAAGGAAAAGAAAAGAAATAATATACGTAACACATTGCACTAATATACATATAAAAAAGGAAATAAAGTTTTGGCTTCTAAAATCAGTTGTAATATCCAAAATGAAACTTTGACAATGCTCTGTGATATATTTTGCGTATTTTCTAAGATATGGATTAAATTAAACATTTTGATTAGTTTTATATACAGTTTCCTACTTTCCATTATAAAACAAATGAAATATGAAATTCCTCGATCAAATAAATTAATATGATAACACATCTGTATAAATATACTCTAAAATAGTTTAATTATTCTTCATATTTTTTATGATTTACAATCATTGTACCCAATGGAAAAATGGTATGTCTGTTCAGCAAGAGGATACATGACAGTAGCAGTTGTCTGTCATTTTATATCACATGTAAACTGATATTTTTTTATATATTTTGTTTTTCCCTTGCACCCTTCAAATGCTCCCTGACTCGTTAGACAGACTTTATAAAAAAAGTTAATAATAATAATAACAGCTCCCGTATATAGTGTTTAACGGCTTGGGAGTAGCAAGGTACAGCTTGCCATGCTATTAGAGCCGTTCGGTATACAAGGAAGGTAATGTGGCTAGCACCAGGGGGGTGACAGTGAAATAGGAAAATTGGAAACAGTCATTCCTGTCATGTCTGTCATTCTCCTCACGACAAGTATGGCCGCCTAGACAAGGACAGCAATGTTTCTGTCTAACTATTGTCTAACTTCACAGTTTAGAATTGACAGATTTCAGAGACAACTTCAGATTTGTTCTAGAACAAATTTCGACGCAATTTTAATTCTCTCCGTTTAGTTTTGTACAGTTTTGTAAAGTAATAAAGCATATAAAATATATATTACATGAAAAATCCTGGAGAAAAAGACGTTTCTGCAGTACTAGGTATGTCCCATGTATATTAAAAATAGGTAGTAAATAAACACTATTTCTGTATTTTTTAGATGTAAGAAAATTTTGTTATGTTTATGATCGGCGATTTTTTTGAAAATGGGAACAATTTACAGCAAGGTAAGATCATTTTTAACTATAGCCAACATTAGTTATCTCCAGTATGCGCGATTTATTCTCAATAATGCAATAAATCTGACTGATACAATCTGATTGTTATCCGACTAAAAGTCTCTTTTTGCTTCTTTTTGATTTATAAACTAGGTCTCTTTGGGAATAATGGACGCTTTTTTAAACAGTATATTTATATTTTATACCTATTGATATTTTTACATTGTTAATTTTAGTATAAAAAAATTGTTTTTCTATTTTCAGGTTTTTGTATAAGGCTCCCGTTTTCATATTCCTGTCCCCGTTTTCTGTCCCTGAAGGCTGTGAATGCGTGCTATTTACAAATTACTGTAAGTCATGCTTATACCTTACTAATTTACTTTGAAATTGCATATAATTAAGTAATTGCTGTAGAAATCATTCTGTTCTTTATTTTTTATATTTATTTAGTCACGTCTCATATTTCAAATAAATATGTTTGAATAAAATTTTGTTTTGTTTTATTTATGATAAGAAAGAGTACAAAATACATTTAAACTGAAAGAGGGCCCGCCATTGAATAACCGGAAACGGAAATAAAAATGAAGTCATCATGTCAACCTGTCAATTGGAAAATTAGTTCTCCACACGACAACGAAGGCTTTCGGTGGCGTACCGTGTTTCCACAATTTAACACAGAGTTGACACTTCTTTCTAGTTAATTATTTTATGGCTAGCGCTACGCTTCAACCGCCTATTATTACCTCAGGATTGTGAATCCCAAGTACTCATTTAAGGCTGAGTCGACCTAGGTACCCAAACTATTTTTATTTTAATAAAAATAGTCGGCTGATGAAATGCCAGGTGTAGGATTCGAACCCACAACCTTGAGATTGGTAGACGAGAGCCTGTACCTCTACACCACCGTGCACTTTTTTTTATTTTTTTTTTGTTTTTTTGAAAGGTCTCTAACAAGTCAGGTAATATTTTTGTAGGTTTGTTTACTATTTATAGTTTTTCCAGTGGAGGAATATATGATGGCTGCTCCTGTCTTTCACTGGACAGGCTATAGAATAGGGTACACCAAAAAAAAAACAATATATTTTTTTATTTTAGTTACCGTGAAAATATCGTTCACGATGATGAAAAAATTATATATATTATATATAAGTTCGAGCTCTTAATATTATTATTAAGCGGTGTCTATCTCGTGATTTTCTATTTCTCATTTATAAATAACAGGGGATTTTTTTTAAATTTTATTCCTTTCTAACAAATCAGATTTTTCATTTAATCCACTCGTTTGACATTTATTGAATTTGTAGCAGATTTTGTTAATAAAACAAATTATTCTTATTATCTAAAAAGCTATATTGTCCCTTGCGTAAGGCAGCTTTTCAATAGAGTAGTCATGGGTTCGTTTGTATTTCACTGGAGAAAACCAAATTACACTAAAACTAGAAGTACTGGGCGCCAAACAAGATACAAAAAAAAGTCGTAGTTAAAAATAAGTGACTATATTGAATCAGGATGATTCCTAATTATTATTAGGATAATTAATAATTATTGTTATTCAATGTTTTGCCAAAGAGCACTAGATGAACTTTACGAAAAATAGGATATTTTATGTTTTTGAGCCATTATTTCGTGATAAAATATAAAAAATCATATAAAAATATAAAAAAGTTATCATATACGATTTGAAGTTATCATTATATGTATATATTCGTTATCATATACCTTCAATAACTTTCAAACGAGTCTATTAAATGAAAAATCATATCAGACCTTTTTTGAATACGAATGAATTTCCTACAAGAATATGTATTGATGTTTACAACACTCTTAATATTATTATTAAGATCTCAAATTTTACCAGATTTTTTTTTCATCATCGTGAACGATATTTTCATGCTAATTGAAAGAAAAAAAAAATATATTTTTTTTGGTGCACCCTACTATAGATAGTAAGAAATACTAACCCCACAGCATATTACGGTTCTAAATGCTTAGTGTTATCCAGTGTTATCCATGTTAGTTTATGTGATCTAAGGAAATATATATATTTTTAACTCACTCAATTTTTGAATATAAAGAGATGAATTGAATAGCCCATAGTAAATTTCAAATTCAAAATAGTCACATCAACACCACATCCTGTTATGGTTTGCATTAAATACAAAAAAATCTGTATTAATGTATCTCCTTTATACAGAAAATCATTTCTGTTTAAGCAAGCTACAGTAATATCTCTCGCCTTATATTTAGGCACATCAAATAAGAAATATTATAAGGAATACGATTAATTATGATAAATATATTTCTTATTTTGTTAATTGAAATCACAATATTTACATCTTACTACTAATTGTTCTAAAATATAAAGTAAATATACAAGACAGAAGTAACGCTTTGGTTTAATTCTAAAACACCAGAGATCGGGCAGAAAATTATTGCGGCGTGTTTTCATACAGCGTGTTCAAAAAATTTCGTGAAATGGGAACTCAGTTTAAGATTCTTAAAAATCATTATTCTTGATATCGTCTCTGTAATAGCGAACAGTAAGTAAATAAGCTGTGTAGTAGAAATTCGAGTACCATACCCATACCATACCACAGATTAAGTATACTATATGTATACAGATAAAAATCTTGTCCCTAATTCGTGGTACGAAAATTGTTTTTTATGACGATGAGCAAACGAGTAAAATTTCCTGTGCGCAAAAATAAACTCGCGTTTAAACAGCGTAATAACTGGGCCGGTCGGGTGCTGTGCACAATTTTAGAGGCCATAAGTGGGCGTGCTATGTGCGCAAACTAGTAACCTAGCTAGTGCGCGACTCCGAAAATTGGAACCACGAAAAACAATGGTTTTGACGATAAGTTTATAATCTGTGACCATACGATTGAAAAAATAATACGTTAAATAAGAAGAACTAAGAAAGGAGTCTAATACAGTTTTTATATTTAAGAATGAGAAGAAAGCGGCGTCATGGAAACACTTTTTGTCAGTTTTCTTTGACGTTTTACGTGACACATTTGAATTTTTACGGGTTTAATGTGCATCAGGGGCCGGAAAGTGAAATAGCAAAAGCGGTTCCACCGTTTCCACGGAAATTTCAAATAAAATAGTTCCAGCCTCGGGCACTAGGTGGTAGTGTAATTAATTTTTAGGTTAAGAAGTTGCTACTAGTTATTGCCAGATGGCGTTCAATCAGATTTTTTTTGTAGTTTCCATAGTTTCCAACGGCCATTGTCATACTATTGTCAAATTCTCAAAAAATATTGTCGTTGTCATAGCGCCAATCATAATATTATCAAAAATGATTATCAAAA